ATAAAAAACTAGAATGCACATAACTTATTTTGCCCTCTTTTGACAGTCTAATGAGTGTCGTCAAAATTGGTGGTACGAGCTGATTTTGGACTAGCTAACATTTAGCTAATTAGAGGTGAACAATCTGAGCGCTAAATTAAGGACGGGGTGCAGAAACGGTTGGATTCACGTAGTTGCTTATGCACTGGTTTCGGTGGGCTAAGGCTCAGTTATTTCTGCATCCTCAAGATAGGAACACGCCGCCTGTCCACCTATCCGCACATCATTTTAAGACCAACACTCCCTTGGGCACTAACAGTTTTTATTTGAACTATTTTGTTGACCTCTTCAGGTAGTTCTGTAAAAGCTGTTTCTGCATTCATTCATTGTCACGGTGGTTAGTATGACGAGAAGGTTTTTGGTTGGATTCACTCAACTGAATTAAATGTTATCTATGGAGTTACTGAGGAGAAAACAATCAGGTCCATTGCAGAGTGTGTGTGTCGGTTTGTTGGTGTGTGTGAGTGACAGGGAATAAGACCTCTTGAACTTGTGAACGTCAGTGCAGCTACTTCATGTGAGTCAAGTTTAAAAGCACAAGTTGTTATGTGTTGAGAGAAGGATCAGAGAAATTCAAATACAAATTCTGACCAGAGTTCACATAAAACATCAGAAAATATTTAGCTTTCCAGTGACAGTGTGAGGCCTCTGATGAACCTCAGAGCTGTACTCCAATCCAAGTGTCACATCATGATGTATGCACTGAAAATAAATCCCACAGTTTGTTTTATCCTGTTGGGAGCAGCAGCTGCCTGGAGTGCACTGACAGAGGACATTACAGATCACAACAGACAGTTAATCACAGAAAAGGAGGTTAAATCAACTTTCAAATAGTTTCCATGGATTGTTGAAACTTTTTGGCACCCCTGTAGTCGGATTATGTAGCAGACCCCGCCTGTCTGAGACCTCAGCAGCCGACAACACACCACAGTAATTGATGGCGTTTATTTGCAGATACTTGCTGGCTCAGGTCCGATGACTATGAAAGGTCGTTGTGTTGCCTGAGATGATGTCCTTTGATTTATATGGCCTTAAAAATGACCTCATACAGGAGAGCAGTAAAACAAACAAGACTAAATTGTATGAATCCTCTTGTTCAGCTTTTAATATCTAAATTTGAATGTTTTGTTTATTTTTTAAGGCTTGCGGGTCCTTACAGTCCCTTTGAGACTTATTCCACTTCGGCTATTTTATGTATATTATTCCAGGATTCCTTGACCTTCTCTTTGTACAGTCGTTCATTCCCTGTAGCTTGACTCCCTAAGCTCTGACCTCTGCCCCTGGGTAAGGCATTCAGCCGATAAGGTGGAAAGTGAACATTCAGCAGATCCATGCATGGTAGAGCAGTGAGCTGTGAGACGATAAAAAGGAGGTGCTGCAGGCTAAAATGATGACCTTTTGACCACCACCCTCCACCCGCTCTTTTGTAGCATATTGTACATGATCAAAGACGACTTTGGATGATAGCGGAGATGAGAGCTAGCCGTTAGCTGACCTGGCTTGGAGGTTAGCCTGTCAGGAAGGCAACCTTCAGTGCTCTCTCTAAAGCAGACTACACTTTGCTGTGTGAATGACCAATCCTGCAGGATGAATACTGAAAGTCTCATTAGAAATTCTCAATGTGACAGAAACAGAGAGAGGTGGCATGTTCTGTTGGCGCTGATAGAACACAGCATGCAGGGACTGTGTGGAAATTGCTAAGGTGTGTGCACTTCCGCATTGGAACGGCATCTGACAGTTTAGACACTGAAAAAATTGAAGACACATAGTTGCACCCCTCAGCGATGTATTGAACTGAGGAGTCTTTTTGTCTTAACTTTTATTAAACGCAAAGTTTGTAAAATCCGCCGCCAGAGGGCTCTCAATCAAAACAATAGCAAAAGATGACGTCAAGGCTAGCAGGGAATCATGGGAGCTCTCTTTGCTACTCCCTTCCTCCCCCCTGGTGAAACAGACCTGAAGAAGAGGATATGTTCATGTATCAGAGTATAATTTACATGACGTTTTTATCACAGCAGCTCATTGTACGGCAACTTTCAGAAGAAGCTCTCGCTTCCTTATGCAGCGGTCTTTGACGTAGCATCCTGTGTTTCCACGGCAACGATAAATATTTTGTGTCTGTCATATGGCCGCCCCATCATGGCGGCTGCCACGAGGACACGTCTCGTTACAACTATAAAATTACGGATTTCTCTGGCTTTGATAACTTGGACATATTTGAGGTAATTTAAGTTCTCAACAAAAAAAAAAAATAATATAGGCTAAGTCCATTTTTTTTATTAATTTAGATATTTGAATGCAAACTTTGACATACAATTTTACATACTATATCTTTAACAAAACAGAATACCGCTGTTTTCTTTGCAAAGATGAATTTGACATAAGGTTGTAGAAAAGCAATATATATATAATATAAAAAGAGACCCATGCCAGCCTCTGCCAGAGCCTCTTCTTATCAACAGCTTTTAACCCTCATTATTTCAAAATTATGCATTTAAAGAAATCAGTGATTTATTATTTAGAGTATGAACCTTGTGGGGGGTGCTGGACGGTGCACCTCTAGACATCTTGCATAAGTGCAGTGAGATTGCACAGTCAGAAACACTTTGAGTGGAGTTGGTCTGGATCCTCACTTAGACCAATTGTAAACTCTGTCTGTAGAAAAAAAGATGGATTGAGTCTGTTTTTAAATTAGTACATACTCCAGGATCTACTCCAGTCATCTGTGAGACTGGCTGAATTTCTTGCTGCTCGATCTGGCATTCTACTGAGTTAAAGAGCTAGCCTTAGCACTTAGCAGGGAGTGACTGCTTAGCCAAAAAAAAAGAAGATTTTTGGGAGATAAGAATCTCGATTTTTACATAAATCTATTTTTTCCCCCACCCCACCACCTAACACTCACACTCTCAAACTACAGATGCCTTTTTACCACTTGACTTCTGTTACGGCTGAAGAGCTGCTGTGGAGTCCAAATAGGTCAAAGTATGTCATAACCATGAAGTGAACAATTAAGAAAAGAATCAGAATATTTGCCTCGGATTGGAGACATTCTTCTGTTACTACACTCGTTTTCTGTACGTGTAACTAATGCTTCAAGCTCACCAAATCACAATCAGCTTCAGTAAAACAACCACAGTAGAGCCTTTCATACACTTCATCTATCGAGTAGTGTTGACCAAGCCAACCACGCCTCTTATCTCTGGAAATGGAAATCTGCATCACAGTTGGACTATTACAAGTCTTTCCTCCTGTGCTGATTGTAGTGTGGTGAGGTTTTTATTCTGTTGTTGAGGAAAAGGGGAACAGTTTGTTAACACACTGTCCAAAGTTTAAGATGAAGAGAGTTCTGGGATTACTTTCATTTTCACTTTGGGACATAAGTGGCTGTGATAGGCTACATGTATTCCCAAGGATCTGATTAATTTGACTGACTTGTCTGGCAGTTGACTTGCCAGCTCAGTGTTTAAGCTCCCATCTGAAAAAAGGTTCAACCCTTTTTCTCATGCTCATCACACTGGACAAACAGTCCAGGGTTCACGGAAACCAGGGACACAATTTCAGGAAGTTTTCTTTGGCTCCACACAGAAAACCCTACAGAGGAGATTTTTTCTGAGATTCATTTTTAGTAGCGTTGGAGGGTTTGGGTTGGGGGAAGGGGCCGGACAAGGAGTGTCTGGGTGAAGCCACAACATGTGTGTATTTGCCTCTTGGCTGGATGTGGTCTCGGTCTAACTGTAAGCAAGCAGGAAATGGTCTGCTGTCCAGCTTACAGGTGCAAGATGACTCATTACAACATATCCTCGTTATTTCACAATTAGACATTTTTGATAAAGTTAAATGAATGAAACCTTTATTGCCTCTAGGGGATTTTGTCTTTCACCAAGAGCATAAAACCGCAATACAAACAAACATACAGGACAGCACATACAAACACATGATACACATCACATGATTGAAAGAGGGATTTCAGAGCAAGTTAAATAAAGTGAGATAACCAAGTTAATGCTGTATGATCAGAGCTTATTAAGCAGCTGAATGCTGCCTGGTACAAAGGATGTGACGCCTCTTTAAGTCCTCCTCCTGGTCTCTCTGTACCCTGAAGTCAAGAGTTCATACCTCGACAAAATAAACACAGTTGTGTGTTTTGTTATTTTTTTGGTTTTTTGAGTTTGGCTCAGAGAGGGAGAGAGGAGGAACAGAGTGAATTGAGAAATAGGTGAACTGGCAGACGCATATAATGTTTTTTTTAATGCAACATAAACTATATCAAAATTTACGATGTTTGTGGCTAAGTTGATATAGTTGGTCATCTCTTCATCAGAAGGTTGAGGGTTCAATCCCCAGCTCCTGCGGCAACATGTCAGATGTGTCCTTGGGCAAGACACTTAACACCAAATTGCTCCTGCTGCTTCGTCAGCGAAACGTAGCAGCCTCTACCATCAGTGTGTGAATGTGTAGGTGTGACCTGCAGTGAAAAAAAAAAACACTGAGTAGTCAAAAGACTAGAAAAGAAATATACAAAAATATTAAGTCCAGTTACCATTTATATCTTGTTTGAAAATATATCGATATATCGCCCAGCCTTACTAGATGATCAATACTCTGAACTGCACTCTGTGTAAACATTATAAAGATGCTCATGAAAGATCCCAATGAATTGTTTCCATGGAACTTTGTTTTATATCAAGTTTGGTCATGTCGAAAAGAATGCCTGAACACCACTACATGTAGATGGATAGATTGATAGATGGGTGGATGGATGGATAAATGGATGGAAAGATACATGGATGATAAATGGATGAATCGGTAGATGGATAGATAAATAGATGGATAACTATATGGATGGATGGATGGATAGATAGATGATAGATACATGGATGGATGGTTGGATATATATACAGTAGATAAGAGAACGTTCTTTCCTAACTCTCTCTCTCTCTCTCTCTCTCTTTCTTCTCCAGGGACCTGAGGAATAATTTGATAAGTACAGTGGAGCCCGGGGCCTTCCGTGGTCTGCTGGCTCTGAGGAGACTGTGAGTATGATGAAGCCTTATAATAGCCTTCTCTGGGGGAAAATGGGGACAAGTGGTCTGGTTTTGGATACATCGGGAGGGAGTGTCTCAGTAATGAGAGAAGAGAGGGCTGAAACGTTTAACTGAGGCAAAAGTGCAGAAACGATTACTTGTCTTGTCTAAACTGCCATGGTGCAGGCGGTGATGATGGAAGGCTTTTTTCAAGTGACATTAATAAAGACACGAGTGCGAGCAGCCACATTGACCACACTCCGTAGGATTTGGGGGGTTTTCATGTTTGCCAGAGGGCACATCAGTGGGAGGTGTTGAGGAAAAGGAAACTATATGTCATACACTTTCTGCACTCAGGGTTTAGAGCAACTGATCTTCTGCCAGGCAGTGTGTGAAAGCAAGACTGTTTAACCTTTGCCAAAGCAAGCTCCTCACATTTCCCAACTTTCTAAATTCAGATGTTACAAATTAGCGAACATGTCCGTGTTTTAATCCTGTTTCACATTTGGGTAAGCCATTAAGTACATAAACTGATGCAACAATCTCAGTTTTTCAAATCTTAACTCTTTTTGAGTCTGCATAATAAAGGTGGGAACTTCTAAAGCTTATGTCAGACTGCTGTTTTACAGGTTTGCAAATTGTTTCAATGTGTAAATCTGATGAGTTATTCTTCATCCACTTCTTAATGACATTTTAGACACACCTTACATTCCTATTCCACCATTACCGAATATAACCATTTGATTGTCGACAGAATCAGAAAGGTCATAGAGTCTAGCTCTCTAACTCTTAAGTTAAGTTGCAATTTTGCAACTTAGGGCGCACTCACACTAGGCAAAGTTGTCCCATACCGTGCTTAAGCAGGATTGCCCTTATGAGCCCTTATACCAAGTGTCAATGGAAGCCCAGGGCGAAGTTTTAGACTAGAAACAAGAGATCAATCAGTAATTTTCGACACCTAGAACATTTTGTAATCTATATTGAAATTGTAGCTGAAACATTTTACTCACTTTCTACATAATATTTACCGTGTTCTTTTAAAATGTTCATACACATCTTAACCAATTTTTATTCCAAAAATCTTCTAAAGTTAAGGTCTGTCCTCCCACTGGGGAATGGTGGGGCGTTGACCTTGCACCCTCTTTTACCTACCTGACATAAGTTACACACCCATATTTAAGAAGCTGAGGGACAATGATGAAATAATACAACTACTACACAAAAAAGGATATGATCATATTTAGCCTGTAGCTTAGGATTGCTTGAATTTTTTTTCAATACTAATTCAAAAAAAAGTTTACATGAAAAATGCAGCAGGTCAAAAGTCTGGTTTCAATGGTTCCCACATCCTCGGGGGGGGGATTTCTGGTCATTTCCCAGGATCAGTTATATATTTACCTTCCTCTTCAGATAGAGTGGAGAGGGCTGAGCTAAAGAAGCCTTCAGGCTTTCTTTCATTACAGATCATTTTAAACTAAACTAAACGAAGTCTGTCTGTAAGGGCAAACCTTTCTAAATGTATTGAATTAGGAAATGGTTTGTTTTTTGTTCTGCTCTCTTTTCTGTTCTCACCTTGTGATAGATGTGATGGTGGGCTGGTTCTTCTTTTACAAATTGTTAGGGAGTTGAATATTTACAAAAGGCGGTTCATCTCCATGGCTACCGCATGCAGTAAAAGGACAACCTTTAAAATGATCTTTAACACTTATTTGACATTTAAACATTCAAAAAGCAACATTTACCATTCCAAAAAAAAAAAAAAAAAGTTTTATTTTTCTTTGCTTTTGTGACCTCTTCTCCTCGACCCTGCTGTTTTTCTACATTCAGGCTGCAGAGTGAGTGACATGACTGCAGCCTGATAGTTAGTGGGTTCTGTGTTGGCAGGGAAGCAGGCGGTGAGTTAACCGTGCTGATTTGGGGCACGTGTGCGCCAAGCTCAGGGAGCAGCAGAGTGCTAATTTAAGTGCTCCCCAACTGGTGATTACTCGAGTGCTCTGCTTATTTTCCCACAGCTGCTCCAGTAAAGCAGCTCTTTAATTACAGAGAGCGAGGGCACAGAGCCACGGACGCGACAGTGCTCAGACGCTCACATACAGAAGCCCACTGCATTTACATGTGTGTTTATCTTTGTGTGTGTGTGTGTGTGTGCCAGCTATGGTTACATGCTGAGGAAAAGGTTAAAATAAAGGTCAGGACAGATATTTCAGGGTGTTGAATAGATGAATGAACATGATTGTGGTTATTAACACATCTGTGATGACTTTTTAGGTTTAGAAGAAAAGCATGCATTAAAGCAGACACGAACACAGACACATGCAAGTCTACAGATGAATCCTTTTTAAAATTTGGCCTCTTTTTCTCACTAAAATATCAGATGTTATAACTATACATAGTGATGAATGTTCTTCTCTTGTTACCTTTTTTCTGTCCTTACAGGGACCTGTCCAACAACAGGATCGGCTGCCTCTCCCCTGAAATGTTTCTTGATCTGGTCAATCTCTCCAAATTGTGAGTTACCCCCATTGAAGCCATGCATCACACTGCTTTGTCCTCGATTTGCATTGTTTGTAATGCATGGTCTTTAATATGGATATAGCATGCCACAGCTGTGTGACTTTACAAAGTTTAAGGTTGACCTGTTTTTTATTTTTATTTTACAAAACAGGAATTTATCTGGAAACATCTTCTCCACTCTGACTGTGGGACTCTTCACACACCTCGTGGCTCTCAGAGTGCTGTAAGGCAAACACACTAACATGTCATGTACATTGTGTGGTTAAAAGTCATTGCTGAAATACCTTTTTGTCTAGAGTAATTTTGAAGGCCAAGCTGATGAGCTGTAGGCTGACTCATTGCAGATATTTACTTTGTTGAAGCTGGAAAAGCTCAGAGCCTCTGTATCACCCAGGCTGAGCAAAAAACCCAGCACGTGTTTAAAATATTTGCCAAATAACTGGCACACTAGATTTGAATGATAAACTTCTTAATTGTCTTGGCCCTTGATGTTTTTGTTCTGACATGTCAGATGTCTTCTGGGTGAATGAAGTTAAAGACTGGCTGCTTAACTCTCAGTGATATCCTTAAGCACAAAGGTTTTAACCGTTCACTGGTTTTCCAATCAGGCACTTCAGCACTGAGACTCTGTTCTGTGACTGTCAGCTTAAGTGGCTTCTCCTCTGGGCTCGGAGCAATTCTGTGAGGATCAGCAACGACACGGCGTGCATGTTCCCCACCCACCTTCATGGACTGGAGTTTCGTAACCTACGTGAACAGCAGCTCAGATGTGGTAAGGACCTACAATATTATGTTTGGCTTTAAAAAAAGAAAAGTGGGTCTGTGATATTTTTTAACCCTTTATATTAATGTTATTATAAGAAAAAATTCAAGGGTTAGGCCCAGGGAATTTAAAAAAGTGACCTTACATCCATAAACAAAGCAGGTTAAGTGGTATGATTTTCTTTGTGTACAAAATGTATAAATAAACATGAAGCCACAATAGTTAAGATTTCTGCATTTCAATGTGTTTCATTGCCTTACATGGCTTGCACATGAGCCTGGTATCAATAACAGCAGAGTAAGGGCGCAGTCAAGCTAGGCAATTCGTACTGTTCCTAAACACGCTTCACCCCTAAAGTCCAGTTGGTTTGACCAGTGTGATTGCTCAGATCCCTGCCATAGCTTGGTACACTTCCTTGGCTCTGGCATGCTTGGAAGAGTTGTGCTTCGGCAGGGTACAGTTCATGTACGAGCACAAGCACAGGTAGACAACGTGGACAGCCTTCATTATCGAGAATTCCCAGAGTGTTCTGTCTGTATATGATTAAAATGACTCAAAATAAGATACAAAGTCAGTAAAGTAGCGTTCATGTTCTCTGTGTTGTTTCGAATCCGCCTGTCTTGTAAACTAAGCACGCTTCATGATCACGTTTAGCGGTGCTTGTGTTGTACTACAACGTTATGAACAAGAGGTAATCGTGCTCAGGCCCGGTTAGTCCTGGAGCAGTGTGAGTGCAGGCCAGCGGGGGAATGGGGAGGGGGGGGGACAATGGGAGTGGGGACAATTGTACTTCAGCACAGTACTGGACAACTTTGTCTACTGTGAGTGCGCCCTAAGTCATTGCAGTCATTGAGTAAAGCAACAAAGCTCTAATGATGAGCGTTTGATACACAGAGATGCTTCCAGCAGGTAGACCTATCCTTTCATGTCACTAACACTCTCTAATAAATCTGAATAATTACATAGAAGTGAAAATGTTTTCTTTTCATTCCAAGTACAAAACAATGATTACTGTAGTTTTCCTTTTAGAGAGATATTAGTCATATCCTGATGCAGACAGAATATTGTAGCAAGAAAAGTGACATCCATTCATACTCCCCAAATAATGCTCCTCATAATTAGCACTTTTGTTAATTAGCTAATAAATTGACTCCACCTGGCGTCCCAGGTGTAATCTAGTCCTTGAGAAAAGGGACAGAATGAAAACCAGCAGGTCTCTGAGTTCTGAAATCTGCTCTCTCTCTCTCTCTCTCTCTCTCTCTCTCACACACACTCTCTCTCTCTCCCCAGCATTTCACTGTTGTGCCTGATGAGTTACTTTAATTTTTGCACATGCATCAGTTGAAAATATATGAGCCTGCTGTCATAAGTGATGTGATAACAAACTAATTTTAAAAAGGATGAGAGGATGCAGAGTGAATCATGACATTTGCAATCTAAACCCAGGTTGTTTGATTCTGTTTGGCATCTTATTTTCTGGTACTTTAAAATATGTTAGAGTGACTTAATGTTGTTTGTTGAGAGTGAAAAAAAGAATGAAAAACAGAATCACACAGGTCACCATGTGGTGGACACTGAAGCTTCAGTGTTTATCCAGCTCTGCATCGGTCTGTAAACCTTTCTGTGTTCTAACCTCTCTCCATTTTTCAAAATCATCTCCAATATTGATCCTAGTTTGAGCACGTTTCTGCTCGTGGAGCTTATTAGAAACATGCAGAGGCTTTTTAGGTCGGGTACAATCACTTCTATCTGAACCACTTCTCTTGACCGCTTCCATCGCTGCAACACCTGTTGGTTTGACCTGATAACTGCTCTCATATCTGGCAAACCGAGGGGTGTCCAAAACGGCCGTGTGGGGGTGTCTTAAAACCGTCTACCTTCTCTGGTCCAAACAAATCCAGAGCATTCAGGAGCAGAATCTAAAGTTAGAAGGAGGACATACTGGCTGCTGCATTGTTGTCAGAGAAGCCAGCACTTCAACATAGCATGTTTCCTTAATGTCTGATCAGATAGTAAGGTCACTTTATCATTTCATTCAGTAGACGTATTAAATATTGGACCTTTAATGGAGGGTTAGAGAAAGCTCAAAATATGGGGTTAATCATGATTGGGGTACTGGCAACCCTCATGTAATATTTACCTTTAATAAACTGGCCTGTGGCTCAATGCATGGGTCACATGTCTACTATCTTTAGAGAAAATAAGTTTGGTGAAGAATCCACACAGTTCCAGAAACAAGAAAAGCAATGAAATCACTTCTATTCGATCTCGTTTAAAGACGGCTGGTAGCTGTGTTTCAAGCCTTAAAGCCAGAGATAATGGCTTCTTGATATGAACATTTTTCAGAGCTCTGACAAAAAAACACATCTATGAGATAAGGGAATGCCTCCAGAGACTTCTCATCTGCAAGACACAGCTTAATTTCTCCAGCATTGTAATTTCAAGTGGTTAGCACAATGAGAACATGATTAAGTAGATGTATTGTGATAATAGGTTCCCCTCTCCACTGTTATCTCTCTACCTGCAGTGAACTGTATGGCAAGCCTAATATTAGACGATGATTTAGTGCTAAATTGCCAGAGAGAAAGCCCCAGGCAAAAACTGTCTCATAAAGCAGTCTTAGCGCCGTCTCGGCCCCATTATGTGGCAGCCCTGTTTTGGGCAGCAGCGACTTTAAAGACACAGGAAGGAGTTTATGCTGCAGATGTTTTCTGGTTCAAGTCCACAGATCAACTTAACAAAAATCAATTGGCTGTTCTCTTTTCTGCCTTTCAAAATGAAGTCAGAGATTTTTCAATAAAGCGTACATCACATTAGCTGGCAGTCTTTATAAGTGGCTCAGTTGTAGCTGCGTTTAGTTTAACTGGAGAGTTTCCAGGTATGCGAAGCCTGAGTGTGCATCAGGCAGTTGGTGGTAAAGATCGGGTGTGCTCAGCAAAACCTTCTCTATAATTACACTTTAAAGTAATGGGGGGTCCTTTATATAAAAAGTGCACAGGAAGGTGTTTGCTTTTCCTGACCAGCAGCAGCCGAGCAGGAGAGGAAAGACAGAATATTCGGAGAAAGAAATGCATAGTGGAAACCTTTTATGAATACTTGTGGAATACTAATTGAGTTATTGGCAGGGTGGGGCACCTGAAAATGATTTACTAGTTACAGTTACTTCTATCAAAAACTAACTGAGTTACTAACAGAGTTACTGCTTTATAAAAGTAACTATTTACTTGGGAAAGTTACCAGCATTACTTGTTTCGCCTCAATCATTTGCCTCATATTAGAGTTCACATTATTGTGTGATGCTGTGGCACAACGGTGCTGTGACAAGGTGTAAGTATTTTACTGATTAGATCTCTTAAGTCAACAGACTCAACAGTTGATATTATAGTTGTCGCCGTCATCATACCTGTGTATCAGTCTTTAGTCTGGCTTACAGAGTGTGGAGCAGGCGGGTGTTTTAAATCAAGCCGGCTGTTTGTACGGAGCATTAGCTGCACCTGGGTCTCCGGTGTTTGCAGCATGAGGCTCTCAGACAGCTATAGTTTAGTAGCAGTGTGTTATTGTGTAGCTCGGTGCTTCTTTCTTGCGAGATAAAGTTTTCCTTCCGGCACACAAACTCCAACTTACTGCGTTATTCTTGTGGTTTAACTCGAGAAGGGAAAAATAGTATTGTTTTTTCAGAGATAGAAAGTTGACCGCTGAATGAACCCCTGTCTGTGTTTGTTTACTACGCACAACGTTAGTGTCATCTCGCCTGTCTGTTGTCGGCTGTTTCACATAAAGTAATGAGTGCTTTTAAACGTCAGTAAATGTAACAGCGTTATTCAAATATGGAAAGTAACTAATTCGTTACTAGTTACCAAATAGTAGTAGCGTTAGTCCCAACACTGTTGGTACATAGAATAGATACTCGACTTGAGGCTGGGCTAAGTTACAAAATATGATAGTTCTAATTTTTTCTGAAGTGATCCATTTTCATATCTGTCTTTCGGGTTGGATTTAATAAGGTTGCCAGTTTGAGGACTGTCCTGTTAATGACTAAAGCCTGGATACACCAGATGGTTCAGCAGACTTAAGTATAGTTTCGTATCATGAATTAAAGTCGTTTATCACACAACTGTTTTTTTTGGTGATGAATCCTATTAGAGACTAATCACAGTTCCTAAATACTCTTTTTAATGTAAAATCCTGGAAATATTTCACATTAAAATGCAAAGAAAGATACTCACAGCTTGTTGCAACAGCCTGAATTGTTGTTGTTTTTTTCTAAAAAAAATTGTTGACAACTAGGGTGGCCAATCACAATTTCTATTTGGACCCAGGCCACCGATGTGTCCCCCTGGATCCGTCCCTGCTGCCCAGCCAATAACTTTAACCAATCCAGCTCATCATGCTCACCGCTATGCATACAGCGGCGCTTATTATGCAGCATTAGCATGCAGCAGGGACACTACGTTTGCGCCTTGAATCAATTTTATCCAGATGTTGCCACACATGCCATCTTGAGCACATGAGCATGCGTTAAGTTGACCATTACTGTAACCTGAGAATTAAAGACAATGAACAGTTTACTGAGAGCAAGAGAAGGAGCCTCTTTTTCCATCTGGTATAGAAAATTCACTCTCTTCTCAGGTGACAGTATTGAAGTCAGATCATCCTACTATAATGCATGAGCTACGTCTCCTCATGCTGTTAATGACTCTATCTGGAGATGTGTAATTGGAGTTTATGATAATGTATCATGGAGAGGAGACATGCTTCACAACTTCAGTCGGTAATGACTCCATAGGTCAATGTCCTCTAAGCAGGTATCTCTGTATCCGCTGTGAGTCTGCATCACGTTTTGTTATCTTAATCTGATGTTTTTAAGGATAATTAAGGTGAATGACCCTCACTTCAAATGTATGTATGAACCAGTTAAACAAAACATTTGCAAAGAATTATAAATGCGTTAAGGTCTCTAAATCAATCACATGCATTAACACGATAAAGGTCCAATCAGTAATATATCT